ATTGTCATTATCCGTCGTATCATTAGAAAAACCTACAATTAGTAGTAGATACATTATTAAATAATAGTTATCTTATAGATTTAATTTTTAGAAAAATGAACAATAGATTAAAATATTTAATTACAACAAAACTTAATAAAATTCCTGTGATACGACACGGTGAGGGGTTGGAGAAAGGCGGATCATATCCTTTCCTTGTATCAAAAGAGCTTTGAAAATTGTAGTCTCAACTATTGATAAGAATGAATTTATGATTGGCTATAAATGTCTGAATAAACTTAATAACGTCATAAAGGGAGATCCGGATGATTGCAATAATAATGTCGTTTACAAGATTAATTGTAAGGATTGCAATGGTTCTTACGTGGATCAAACGAAGAGGCAATTGAAAACAAGACGGAGCATAAAAAGAACATGGATCGAGATATAAATAAGCATTCTGTCATTACTGGTCGTATGTTAGAGCATAATCACACGTTTGAATGATCTGACGTAAAAATTCTAGATAGAGAAAGTAATTACTTCAAGAGATGACCATATCAAAGCACAGAATAATGAGATTAATACCAAAGAAAAAACTTTTAAATAAATCTTATTTCAATATTCTTCATAGGATCAGTAATAACTATTGAATGTTTATATTGTCGCTTTTATTGTTAAGTTGAATGTTATTTAATATTGGATCATATCTCTTTTGCCACTTCGTACACGACTGACGTTAAGATCAGAAGCATAAGTTTCACATGTAAGTTGCTTTGTCGTACTTCCGGATGTATAGATTCCACAAATTGTAATTTAATTCTAAATTTATTATCACATTAATTGTACTCCATTTTTAAATTTAAATTAATATAAATTACCAGATGTTGTCTCATATTAAAGTTTTGCAACATCAAGAGAACGTTTCAACCGAATAAATACTACAGTTCAGCGACATATTCCGAATTTTCATTATGTAAAACTTTTAATATCAATTAACTATTAATGTAACATACTTGCAACTGAAGAAAACTCAGTAAAGTTGAAACTAGTTTTGCTAGATTAATGTAAATCGAATATTAAAATTATTTTAATTATATTACTACATTTTATCATTCGCTCATCTTTGGCCGTCAATTTTTATATAATTCTCGTATTGTGTTTTCAATAACGAACAAGATATTGATCAAATAAATTTGTACTCAATAAAAAAAATAATAATTAAATAAAATTAATGATTTTTATATGAAATAAATATATTTACAATTAATAAATATTTACTTAGAATTATTCAAACAAGTATTTATTAAATTTTAGTATTTTCAGTTGTAAATTCATGCACTTCTGGGGTTCGATTATGCATCACACAATTTGGTGAAAATTACAAAAATGAGCAAATTGACTAAGTATGTTGATCAATAAAATTATAAATATTCTAGCAAATTCGCTCATTTTTATAATCTTCATCATCTAAACTCTTTATGTAGTCATTACAATCGTTATTGATTTCCGTTATTTTAAGATTTCTGTTAAAACGCTAAATAGGCTAGATATAATAAAATAGTAAAACAAACAATGCCAAGCAATAAAATAATAAGAACTGGATTATAAATTGAAACGTACGTCGTGTTCGTGGAGGCAGTAGAAAAGGTTCGTTTATAGTCGGACGTCGCTTTCGTAACAACGTCCGGGAATATCAAAACTGAATTGAAAATATTTTTTATCGTCAATCTTTGATGTCGCGGTAATTTGTAATGATATCTCAAATGAAAGAAAATAAAATAAGATAGAATTAATTTAAGATTAATTTAAAAATAAAATAAATAAATTTGGATTCGTTATAGTAACTCTTCATAAAAAATCTATTACGTCTGTCAATTCTATTAAATTTTCGTTTTTAAATAAATAAATTTACTGATGCGAATATTTTTTAAAAAAAGATAAACAATGAAGATAGATTTCGGATAAAAATAACTGATAACTCGAATAAATATATTCTCGATTAAAACTTCAGTTTCGACATATTTTTAATAATTTCGCTTTAATAATTGGATATTGATTTGTTTAAATAATTCATTTAAGCATGAAAATTTTTTCTTTGATCATTTTTATTTTATAACTTCATCAAATAGAAATTTCGAAAGTTTAGAAAGTTTTTTTAATTCTTCCATATAATTGAATTCCTTCCGGTTCCTTCCGGTTGATTTCGAAAGTTAACTTTTAACGCGCCTAACTTTAAATTCCTCTCTTCATCTCCCTTTTTTCTTTCTCCTCTCAAAATCTTGCACGTGCGTATCGTATTTTTATCAATCACGTTTTCAGTTTTGCATTTTCGACATCAACGGGATTAGTGAACTGTGCCCGATAAACGCGTATCAACTCGTTTCATCTCTCGATACTTCGAATTACCTGATGACCTTTTCTAATTAATGAATTAAATTCGCAATGAGCAAACCGCGTTATCACCGCGGCGCTTTGTGATTTCGATAGAACGCCACTTCACAGCGACGACGGCGACGGCCACAACAATTATTTGATACGCACAGTGCGGCCAATAATGCGCATCGTTTGTTCTTCCAATTAGTGGATTGTGAAACGGACCACGGGTGGCAAGTTTCACTCGTGGGCTTCATTTTTCATTTAGTTCTTCTCTTTCTCTCTAGCCCTCTCCCTATCGCCAATGTACTTGCATCCGATGTCTGTATTTCTTTCGCTGACCTTTTATTACCCTACTCCTCCATCGGGACGGAAGGAATCATGGTATTCTTGGTATTCCGGTTACTTTTGTATTGCACAATAAATTAGTAGACAGCAAGTCCGTTTAAATACAATATATTCTAAAAAAATGTTGATTTGATTTGACATTATTTTTTGTTTTTCTGTATTTTTTCCTTTCTTTCTATATAATTTTTATTCTTATTTTATTTTTCTTTTTATATAATTATAATTCCATCACATATTGGAGTTAATATTAATAGCGATATTTTTAATATTAATAATAATTTCATATTATATTGGTGTTAACATTAATAAAAAATAAACAAAATTAAAAACAAAAAAATGAGAAATTAAAAAATAGAATAGAATAATGAAAATATCAACATAACAGGAAGTATCAAACAATTACAAGCATGTTGCTAACGCGTCATCAAAAGTGAACGTGTAAATAATATCAAGAAATAAAAAATCACTGTTTACTTTATCGTGACGTAAAATAATGGGGAAAAAGGAAAAAAAGAAATATATCTATAAACTTTTTAAACTATTAGTTGATTAAAATCAGCGTTATTTTATCGCTATCGGCAATCAACATTGTTTGTATTATTCGGAATATATGGAACAAGAGGATAAAATGTAAAACACATCGATTAAACGTTTGTAATTAACATCAAGATTTTCAAATGTCGAGGTGCAACACTATTTTCAACAATTTTCTAATTTAAATAAATACAAAAATCTTGTGAATTCATATAATATTTTTTATATTTTTAGACTCGTCTTCAAATACCGCCAAGAATTTACGCTGCCATAAGTAATAGTTCGATAATAATTAACAATCACTAATAATTGACAATTGATTTTCATTTTGACAAAGTACTTGATGCCGCGATCACCAACTAGTGACACAACTACACACAGAAAAATATGATCCTATCTCTCAGAAAAGTGATTACTCGATTTACTTTTTTCCTTTTAAGTATATCTTTAACAAAGAATCTTTTCTTGATAATAATCTTAAAATATATACCTATTACAAATTTTAGAAAAACTCTTATTATGTATTCAAAACAGGAATTTATTTCTTTTCAAAGAATATTATAAAATTGATCGAAGAAGCGACTTTGTGTTATAAACAAATCAAATTTGTTTTAATTTAATAATTTTGTTTAAATTTTAATTAAACTTATATTTATATATATATTTATATAGGAGATTCAGAATATATTTTAAATAAATTTGATGCTTTTGTCAACTTACAGTAGATTTGCGAATACATGAACTTTTGAAATATTTAAAACAAGTCATTATTACTTGCGTACAGTATATATATTTTTCTGTGCCTATTCTCGGGCAGTGCTTCTCTAACAATCAAAATTCTCTTGTGCAAATTGTCACTCGATCATTTTAACGTTCGTTTCAAGACAAAGAAAAAAACTTGATATATCCGGATTGCATTAATTAATTTACTTTAAATAGATAAGTGATTTAAAATATGCAAATTAGTAGATGGGAGCTCAGAATTCTAAAATAATTTAATTTTATAACCATATTTTTTACTATTATATTATATTATATATTTAAATTTATATTAATATACCATTATGAGATAAAAGAACGTAAAAATAATGAACTTTAAGACTTCTGAATATTTGGACAATACTTTTTACTTTTTTTTTCTAGAATTAGAAAAAATTATACCGTATATTGCGGGCACTCTACTTAATTAAAGGTCATTTGCATTTTCTATTAATATATTTACACTTATATATTATTAATAAATAAATTTCATTTCACTATGAAACAATTCTGGAAAAAATTGATGCAACCTCTAATTCTATAGGATTAATTTTTTATATCCTATAGAGAATCAATTTATTATATTTCTTTTATTATCTATCTGTTTATTATCTATCTATTTTTTTATTATCAATAAATTTCATACTATGAAGCAATTCTGGAACGTTGCATTTGAATACGGCATGCCAATAAAGGGCATAACAATAAAGAATAAACTTGGCATGCTCGTATTAAAATGCAACGTCCCAGAATTGTTTCATAGTATGAAATTTATTTATTGATAATGTTTATTGATAATTGGTAATAAAAAAAATAGATAGATAATAAAAGATAGATAATAAACAGGTAGATAATAAAAGAAATATAACAAATTGATTCTCTATAGGATATAAAAAATTAATCCTATAGAATTAGAGATTGCATCAATTTTTTTATATTTCTCTTTCAAATCACTAGAAATAATAAAAGCAGTTTTATTAATTTATTTTTACTCTTGTTTCCAGATTTAGAACGATGCTGTCCGTACAAAGTACAGTTGCCCTGGCATTAATGCTCTTCGTCTTGGCGGAATACTCGGCAGCGATGCCGACGATCGACAAAGACAAGGGCAGATTTTTGAACAACGTGAATGTAAGAAAAAGATAAAATCTCGAGATTTTAAAGATGTGAGCCAAAAGGACTTGATATATTTATGCAAAATATTTTTGTAATCCCGCTTTTAAGAAGCAATCGTTTTTTAGAATTATATTCGAAAGCCGATGTTCGATAAATAAAGCAACCTCCAAAACTTTGAATTTATGAAATGATAAATCCGCGACGCTTCGAATCCCGAGAGATCGTCTTTGGATTTATTTATATTTTTCTGTTCAAGCTCTCATCGCACGATTTTTATTTTCATCGTAATCACATAAGGATTTAATCTTATCGTACCTCATATACATATTTAAGGATCAGTTTTTCCATCTTCAAATGAACTATATGATAATTTATTATTAGATAAACAAAAGAGTAAAAGAATAAGTGCATAAAAAAATAAAAGAGTAAGGCAGTGAGCTAAAGTTTATCAAAGGATGGAACAACCCAATCTGTCTTTCTAGTTTTCAGTAAAATGCACCGATTAAAATAATCATATATTGTAAAATCTTTGTTTTCGAGGGTTTACAGAATAGCCCCATATAAATAAAAGTCGACAATTGTAAATTTCAAAAAATATTTTACAATAGGAAATAAAAATAAATTTTTTTTAAAAAGTTACAAAAATTACAAAAAATCCTTTTTTTTCAAAAAATTATTAATTATAATTGATACAGAGATAAATATAAATATAAAAAAAACTTAGGAATGAACAGTAAAATTTCTGGTTTCTACAAATGCTGCGTGTGTTGAATTTCGAGCAAAAAGAATATATTTTTTGTTTCACATTATAATAACCACGTTTTTTTAAGATGTAACAATTCTGACGATTTTTTTCAGAAATCATCTTTTTGATAATTTTTTAAGGGTATGCCACCGTATTGTAAAGCACGTTTTCACAATACGATTACCTAAAAATTAAAGATTACAGAAAGATTCATTTAATAAAATTTATTCATGAATTTCTTGGTAACCTTCAACTTTTAGGTAACCATATGATTATTGTGAAAACAGACTTAAGTGACGATTAATTTTATTGAATAGTTGACGAGACATTGCCGGAGCTTCCGGATTCGCCAAATCGCGAACTCGCGGTGGTCCTGTTCGTCTTCGAATAGTGGAAAAAAGAATCTGGACCGCTCGAGAGTCGTCAAAGTCCCGATCTCCAGTGACACATCAAAAATAAAATGAGAGAAGAAGGGAAGGGAGGGGAAAAGGGAAAAAATGAGAAAGGCAAGTCCTGGTTTTTTTTCACGTAGGATTGCATAGAACTTCCAATTCGACCGGATTGACGGGGGTGTGTAAAATGGACACGACGAGGGGTCCACCTGACAGCTGTCAGAAACGTCTTCGTTTCTCCGTCGCTTTGTAATAAAACGGGGCGAGATTGAAAACGGAATGGATATCACGAGATTACGAGCCCGGCGCGAAAGTTTGTCGACATTTATACGGAATTCCTAGACTACTCGCAATTTCGATCAAGCTACGTTCTATTCTTAAATTCTTTACATTTTTTTGATAAATCATGCCTATTTCAATAAAATGTCCTAACAAATCTTGATCCTACTATCTGCTTATAGTAAATTAAGGCTCATTGATACATATTGATGCCGTTTTATTGAACTGATTAATCTGAGTGTAAAATGCAAATTCAAAAATACAAATTTTATTTAAAATATGTATTATTAATATTTTTGTATTAAATAAAATGTATTGAGGATTTCACGGTTCAACTATTTATATATTTATATTAAACACATATTTACGTCAATTTGTAATAACGGCTTTAATATTTACCAGTGCACACTGAGTGTGCTCAATTGAATTCGCTATTAGACATTGTTACAATAAATTCGTGTAATCCAGTAAGCACAAAGTAACAGTACTGTAACATCAATTTTACTCACAATAATTTATTATGTACGACGTGTGTACGACGTATTATATTCAAAGTGTGAAATTATAATACTGTATTATATGTTACTGTTTTAGAAAGTTTTCAAAAAATTAATTTAAAAAATTACTTGCAAATTTTTATTTGAAACAATAATTTGTGAAATAATAAGACTTTAAATATAGCTAATTACGGAACTGAAGTGCGCTCTTATTAATACACGAAGATAATTTTGTTTTAAAATTTATTTCGAAAATGGATGCTTTCCATTTGATGATACAAGTAGACACAAGTCGACAAGCGTCGTTCTATCCTTGTTCATATTCAGAGAGTGACAAAGATAGAACGATACTTGTCTCGACTTGTGTCATCAAATGGAAAGCACCCAATATGATAGTTAAATAGTATAATATAATATAATACGATATTTTAAAGATTTTTACCGTGCACTTCAGTAAAATTAATCAAACTTATTTTAAACTTTATTGTAATTTTATTAATGAATGAGAGAGATTTATATTAGAATTCTTGGAAATGCAATGTTGTCCCACGACTATTATATTTTCAGGGTAAGCTGTAAGAACAAATTCTCTCCGTGTACTATTCATGTCCATGACGTAATTTGTAATTGATTATATTTAAATCCTTATATCTCAAAAATTATTGATTGAAATAAATTGTATATAATTTTTTAATTTAATTTTTCAAGAACTTTTTTGCTGTGGTATTCTGATTCGTGAGTTTCAAGACACCGATATATAGCTGTATACGTCTTTCCTTTGTTTTTATTTAATTTAAAAAAAGTTCCTACGAAATTCTTCAAACAAAGGCCGTTCGCATGGCGAAAGCAATATTACTAACATCAAAGTTGAATTAAGATATTCAACGAGATGATCCGTTTGTTAAAGCGGAGTTTAAAAAATGTGGGCGAGCGTTTTGCGTAAGCATTGAACTTTCTTGTGCGACTTTATCGAAGAAAAGTGAAGTAAGAAAGGATCAAGAAAAAAGAAAAGAAAAATGTTTGCCATTCTCGCAAGAATCGCAACTACGTGTATCGTTATTACGCAACTCGTTTCCTCTGCGATCATCTCTCTTTCTCTCTCTCTCTCTCTCTCTCTCTCTCTCTCTCGCGTTTAATTTAAAAATTCACTTTGAAAGATTTCTAAGCGCTCGTAATAAAAATATGATTGTTGGTTATTAGAAACATGAATTGACGCTAAAGCGAAAAAAAAATGGAAAAATGTGAGAACATACTTTAACCGTCGCAAAATCGACAGTCAAAGGACGCCGTATCGACAAATCGTTATACTGTTATTCGATTTTCCGACGAGCTTCCGGGGAGCGGAATTTCCACGCCATCTCGCATCTCGCATCTCGTTCCGCTTCCGTTAAGCCGTAGTCATACTAGCGATTATCAATTGAAGGTATATTCCAGACTGTATTAAGCCGTAATCACACTACACGGTTGTGACTGATAATTGGCGATTACTTTCCGACCAATTGCAATTAATGATTACTTTTTAATCCACATCCAGAGAAAGGTTTTTTCAATTTAAAGAAATGTCTTTGTTACATGGTTAAAAAAAAATTTCTTTGATTTGAACGTCATTTTTTGATTCGAATATCATTTTTTTAAATCAAATGAATTTTTTCATTTGATTTGAAAAAAATAATTTAAATCAAAGAAATGACGTTTATATAGCAAAGAAAGATTTCTTTAAATCGAAGAAACCTTTCTCTGGATGCATCAGAGCAAATCAGCCACCAATTGCTTTGCCCTAATTAATTGAAAAGTAATCGTAGTAAATTTGAATTTAACTAATCAAAGCAAAGTTCACTGACTTTAAGATTGATTATCTTTCTTCTAATTGGTTACCCAGTAAGCAAGAAACATTTTGGAACATTTCAACAACATTGTAGCAACGTTGTAACATTACTACAATATTGCTGAAATGGGTAAATTCCAATTCAATTTCAATCTCAATTTCTGGTCTGATCGCGACTTAAAGTCATAATTACACAGTTCCACGATTGTGATTAGCGATCATTTTTCAATCAATCAGAGCAAAGCAATCAGTGACTGGTTTAATTTGAAAAGTAATCATCAATCACAATTCAATTAGCAATCGCTAGTATGATTATGGCTTTACAAAATGACAATGAACGGCGACACGATATATGACAAGAGAGGGAAAAGGGTGGATCGGAAGCTTTATAAAAACGTTGATGCTTTTTTTTCAAGCTTCTCATTTGCAACACGCAAAAGAAACGGTTCGAAGAAATTGTATTATTCGTTGCGTAACTGAGCGGCGCGTCCTGAATCGCAAATGAGATACATAAAGATGCGGGGTGGCACGTAGATAACTACCCTGACGAAGACGAACGTTCGTTTGAATGTAAAAATCGAGAAGGAAAGGGAGAAAGAAAAAGATAACACTGATCGTCCGTTTTTCAATAGGCGAACGTGCAATGCGTGTTTTATAATAAGTAATACCTTGTTCAATGTAATTTAGATTCATGTTTCCTGCTAGAAATAGGAAAGATATCATATAAAAAAATAAGAAGAACAAGAAGAAAGAGAAAGAGAAAGAAAGAGAAAAGATTCTTGATCTTATTGATATACCTTTGAATATATACGCTCGCATTTGTATGACAATGAATATTTGTCATTGTAGTTTATGAGGCAATATTTTTCCCAATAAATTAAATTACAATATTTATATTATAATTCTCAAGATGCTTAGATTAATATCAAATTATTGGTATCCTTCTTGATGCTTATTAGCATCAAGAATTATTAAATTGCTTATCAATTTAATATGTGATATTACCGGGTTGGGAAAGCTATTTTATAAGTTATTTATAAGTTACTTTTATAGATTACCTTATATATAATTTTTGTAGAAATTGAGTATAAACAGCAATACAAAATTGGAACAAATATACAATAATAAAATATAATATAAAAAATAAAATATCCGAACTTATTGTACTCAATTTCTACAATAAAAAATAACTTATAAGTAACTTGTAAAGTGACTTTTTCAATCCTGGATATTATTATTCTAGTTCTGCTTATGATTGCGTTGCAAGATTGAAAATAATTTATTTCTCTCAATTTATTGATTTATTTTCGTCGATCTAACAGTTGTTGAAATTGTAATCAATAAACATGTCAAAGTAGATTTAAAAGTGTTAAAAAATTGTTTTCACTTATATTTTTTTATTAAACTTTGAATTATTTTGAAGCTAAAATAAAAAAAAATGAAAACCAGAGAATTTCAGATGTAACTACGTTTTTCATTTATGGCAAGAATTTTGTCGTCACGATCGCGTGAAACCATAAAAAAAAGTCAAGACCGCGGAAAGAAATAAAAAAAAATAATCAAGAAAGCATGGAAGTGACGGCGGCCAATAAATCTACGGATTGCAAATCGATAATCGATAAATTGTCGACGACAATCGGATTTTTGCGGCGCTCTCCACCCACGTTAAATCTGCATGCACAGGGGTTTAACGCCCTCTCTGATTTATCTACAACTTCGCATTTCAAACTGGGTATAATATTTTGACATTAAGAATTTAATTCAAGGCAATCTTAAAGAGAAAGAGATTTTTTTAATGTTAGTCAAAAATTTAATTTTTTTTTTTTGAAAAATTTTTTTTTCTTAAAGAAATTATGAATATCTGTCACAGTCGATTTCGAAAATTTTCGAAATGTTCATAAAGTGTGCGAATATATATATATATATATACATTAATTATATATACTCGTGTGACATTTAAACCGAATATTCCGAGAAATACGCGCGAGCAGTTGACCCGGGAAAGTTTTCTAATATAAAATTCCATAAAGCGCTGTAATAATTTTGTAAAGAAGGGACATGAGGAAAAAGAGAGAAACGATCCGAGAGAAAATTTTCCATATGAAATCACGCGATATCGCGCGAGACGACCTCGTTATCTTATAGTATATTACAATTTAGGCTTTACTGTTAGGCCTTCACTCCCTCGCTTGTCTCATGGCTCACTCCTTTATATCGTTTAGATACCCAAAGGCTTTTTCGGTACACCGATACACTTTTCTACATTACGGGATGCGTTTGAAAAGTGACGAAACTTTGAAGAAGAAGTTGCGGTTTCTTTTCATTAAATAATCAAAAGAAAATCTAACGGAAAGAATAATCGACACTATAAGAAAAGGTGGTATTCATAATCCGAGCTTCTAGATTTAAGATCCTCATAAGATTCTCATTTTAAGCTCAATGAACCCGCGGTCTTTATCCGGATAAATCCGCATGAATTATGTGCGGAACGCAATTGCGCGATAAAAGCGACAGGGAAAGCTGAAATAAATGTCAATAGAATCATCTATGACCAACTGGAGCCGTCGACAATAAATACGACAGTTTCCTCACCCCTCTCTCTCTCTCTCTCTCTCTCTCTCTCTCTCTTCATCTCACCTCAACTCCCGACGACAGTTTACGCCCCATTACGCCGCGCTAACGAAAAAGCGCACTCGCCTTCGCTTGTAATATTCCGCGAGCGGGTACTTTTCGCTTTTTATTATCAGAGCATTAATGGGGGATAATCGTGTTTCTTACGTACGTTTTCTGTTGAAATCGTGATGTATCGCACTGCAGCGCGTTGTTGGTTCCACGAGGATCACGTTTGACCTGTTCGTTTTAAAGCTTATTTGCCATGAATAAAGTATGTATGAACGTTAAAACATTATCCTATCAAAAGTGAATTTAATTTCATAAACATTTTATGAGCTTAACTTCATAAAAAATTCTCAAAAGGTGTCATAACTTAAAAAGAATGGTTTTTAAGGGTTGTAAAATGAAAGTGACGGAAATGACATTTAATCATTTTACGAACGTATTCTTTGCCGATATATTATTTGATTAGTCAATAATTTTCTATTAAATTGAAAAACAGTTTTTCCTTTTTTCTAGGAAACTTAATTTTTTTTTAACAATATTTAAGTAAAATTAAATGAAATTTTTTAAATTGTCTTGTTTAAGTGTATCTTATCTAAGTAATTTTTGTCCGACTTTTGAAGTCATTAATATTACTTTGAGGACATCTCGATTTTTTAACTATCAACAGTCTATAAGGATATATCCACAAATTTGCATAAACATATGCATAAAGAAAATTATCCAATCACATTTCTCCTATAAAAACATACATAAAATGTGATTGGATAATTTTCTTTATACATACGTTTATGCGGCTATGCGAGTTTGTGTGGATATATAATACACCCTTAACTCTTTACAACCTATGTAATAGTTTCTAAAGACTCTTCATCGCATAATATAATCGAGAAAAAAAAAGAAACACGAGATTACGACTAGGTTGTTCTTTCGGTAAACTTTAGCTCACTGTCTTAAGGCCATTGCACGTAAAAATATTAATTGTAATCGAATTACTTTAGTCGTAACCGAAAGATCATAAAAAGCGATAAATTAATATATTATTGGCTACGAGGCAAGCGATAAGTCACGTGACTGTCTTCTGATTAATTAGTCAATAGCAAGGATAAGGCGTTAATCGCAATCTTTCGAAGGAAAACTTTTGGAACGAAAACTTGTATCTATGATTATGGCTTTGATTATGACGTTTCACTCGTGTTGCTTCTGCACAGAATGAAAGGATGCAATGCTTGGCCCGGATGTATCCAATCAATTTATCGTTTTTTTATGGTCTTACGATTACAACTACTACTTTTACGTACAATGGTCTTTATATTCTTACTCTCTTATACTCTTATTCTTTTACTCTTTTGTTTATCCAGAAGTAAATTACCACATATAGTTTATCTGAAGATGGAACAATCGGCCCTAAATGGACTAGAGTTGCGATACTTGTCCTTGAGCTACATTTTCAAATTTTATCCTTTTAATTGTAGTCTCTCCTTTTTACATTTATAAAAAGACTTTCATAATTACGCAAATTAAATTAGATTGTCCCAATCTATCCAGAAAAGCATTAATTAAAAAAAGAAAAGAAAAAAAACAATACCGGATTTTTGATTGTTTCAGCTGGTGGACGACGACGGCAGCATCGACAAGGTTCTGATGAATTACTTATTCACCAAACAGATTGTGAAACACCTCCGTAATCAGATGAACGTCAATGACTTGCAGCGCAAACGGAACTTCTGGAGACAGTGCTCCCTCAACGCGGTGGCTTGTTTCGGTAAATAGGCGCACAGCAAGACGGAGGAAAAACCAGGCGAGAGAGAGAGAGAGAGAGAGAGAGAGAGAGAGAGAGAGACGCAAAGAGAGAAGATCTACGTTATCTCCGGAAAGTTCAGGAAACTCTCATAACACGATAGGATACATCCAAAATCTACTCATTGATTAAAGTAAGGTTGAGCTTAAATATGGCTGACATTCATGATTGGTATTTATTTCCAGATATGTTACTGTTATATTATGTTACATTTATTATTGAGTGAGATATTATAATGAAGACACAACGCTTCTTAAATAGTGCTTCTCGCGGAACACGAATTAGCAGTAACATTACATTAATATTACAATTTCTTACTGAACAATATAAATGTAATATAACATATGTTACATTATAATTGTAAGAACAGTTACATTATAGAGTAGGAAATTGTAACATTTAAATGACATTAAGATGCCAATATGGCTTGAAATAAGAATCGAATACGAATTTGCGATTGATGTCTTAAGATTGTATTTAAGACATCAATCTTTGATGTCACTTCTTGTGTGACATACTTGCTCGAGGTTTTTTAGTTTGCCATCCCAAACAGAACAATAAGTCATTATGATATTAAAATGGTATCAAAATGACTCTAAAATAATTTTTTATATACATTAAAAATCATTTTTCAATCATTTTCGATTCTTTTTAATGTCATTTTGACGTTATCGTGACTTGTTGTTCTGCTTGGGATGCTATACCTTTTTTTTTATTAATAAAAATATCCATATTATCCATATTAAATACAACAATATTGCTGCGTTATTGCTTATAATTTGCGTTATATTCCTTGTATTAATTTTTTCATACAAGGTAATATTTATGTTACTTTCTATAATCATCTTCTGTGAAACTAACACAAAAATTCGAGTGGACCGTTTAAACGTGTATTAAATTTAACACATTTTCAATTGTGTTTTTTGACGGTCTGACAAAATTATTTTCAGAGATCTGTGTGTCTAAATTTTTAAATACTTTAACAAAATTATATCTTTTTATGTCGGACATTTCGATTAAAAAAAGTTGTTATACTATATCGATTTTTATGTGATATTTATTTTTCTGTGATAGATAAGTGACAAAACAATGCACCAAAAGGTTAAATATAAGAATCGACTATGAATAATACTCAACCTTACTTTACTCGACGGATACATATATTTCTGAACGCACTCTTGAGGAATCCGCGTGGAAGAAATCAATCCACGCTGATGAATGAAAAACGCAACGCGATTCGATTTCAATGGGAATTATTTGTCAACGATAACGATAATTATGATTTACCGCCGTTAAATTGTACGTAACTTGACGCGCGTATTCCTGGTCTATTTTACGTGACGTAATTCGTTTGAAATTCGATGAAATAATTCAACACATGAAATAATCTCCGACTGCGAAGTATTTACTGCGAGTAATCTGTTTAATCGGGGACACCGAAAAATGTGTTTGGCGATGAAGATCCGGGCTCCAACAAGGCAATAAAAAGTTGAATGAGTTTTAATAATCACACGCTCTGCATAATGCAGCGTAATTCGTCGGAAATCGGAGGGATTCTCCCTCGAACTTTCCATGTATCTGACGTAACGTTTGTTAAAAAATTACAAAAACGCACCAGCCGGAAATGAGTAGCACGAATAAAAAGCACGACAGTATAGGAGTATGTAAAAATCAGTGCGCAAGTGATCTCTCTGTTAAAATGACGCAGTAAATAAATATTGTGGAAACGAATCGGCCGAAAATAAACGTTGCGAATAAAAGATACGTTGATAAGAGTGTAAAGGAAATAACGTAGTTGCGCAAATGATCTCTGTTAAAAAAAAAAAAACAACGCAAATTCGAAGATTCAATCGTTCGAGTCTCGCTTTCTAAAAGTGAATCAGTGACTTTAGTGCTATTTATAACTGATATCATGAATCATCAGCGAATATTTTACTGTTTTTCAGTAATAATACTGATTCACTTTTAGAGAGCGATCCGGCAATTGCGTCAAGTACAGATTTCTATAGAAATACTTAAAGTATTACACTCTAAATTTTTTGCAGTGAAATCTCACTCCAAGAAAGTGAAAATATAACCACCCTTCTTTTCTTGAAAAAAAAAAGTGAAAATTCGCTCTAAAAAGAATGGAAATTATCATTCTTTTTCAAGAAGTAAAATATTTTCACTTTTTTCAAAAGTGATATGTTCCCTCTCTTAGAGATTTCACTGCAAGAAATTTAGAATGTAAAATGCTACAATTACGAATCAAACCGAGATGTCATTCGTACCTAGTAATCACGTACAGAATAATGTCTTGTAACGTGTTGGTGTTAATCTGTGAACATCATCTAGGACATAATTATATCTTTTGTATAATTGTAAATGAATAAAACTAAAAAATATTTTTTTTTCAGTATTAATTATTTATTTTCCTACTCTTTATTTTAATGTTTATTTATTTTAGAATTATTTTAATATTCTTCTTGCTTTTTTCTTTTAAATATTTTTGCATAAATGTGTGGAAAGTATATATCATAAGTATGCGGTTCAATGAGAATAAAATTTATAATCTCAACAAACATCAACTAATAATACATAATTATTGATTATAATTTCCCACTCAACAATGTAACTGTTATGTGTTACATAATTGTAATGTTATATTACTATAATACAATTATAACTAACAGTTATGTATTGTTAACTGGTGTTAGATGAGATATATATATTTCTTTCGGAATGCTAGTTTAGTTGAGTAAAGATGAGCATTAGTAGAGAAATTTACTTTATGGAGGTAGTAATCTAGATATTTCTATGGAAATCTGAATGACCATTTTTTCGCTGGGTGTTCCCGAACCTTCTGGCAGGAGCAAGACGAAGAAAGAGAAAATCCTTCCTCTCATCCTCTCACAAATTGTTTGATCTTAGAGCTCTCAAGATTTAGCTATGAAAGTTACTTTCATCGTCTGTTCTTTTCAAATCCTTCCCCTCCCCGTATCACAAAGCGAGAGAGTGAGAGAGCGAGAGAACGGGAGAGAAAGAGAGAGAGAGAGAGAGAAAGAAAACACGGAAAAATAAATTTGTTTGCGTTGTTTGAAATCCCCCAAAATTTTTACACAAAAAAAAACCGAGAAAAAATAAATATAGATATATTTGGACGTTAAAAAGAGAAAAAGCAAAGATTCTAAGTGCAAAAGCAACGCGAACAGAATAACAATACGAATGAATCACGAACGATAAAATTACAACGACAAATGATGGCGGAGAGCGGTAGGATTGTGTAATCGCAGGATACATATCAGAAGATACCACGGACAACCACGTGCCAAATCTAATTCTTCTTTCATGTTGTAAATCTATCGCCACCAATCAACGCTGTTCGCCACATCAATATATATTCGCGAATATATATTATATATATATA